GGGCTCATTCAGAATTCAGCTGCGATGCTGCTCCCAACCGGAAAGTGAAGCGGAAACGCATCTGTTGCATTGATGCTCCCGCCCCCCCACCCCCCACGCCTGCGGTCTAATATCTACACACAGTAGGGCCCGCCCCCCGCGGACCCAGCCAATCCGCTCACAGGAGGCGAAGACGCCCCGCCCCCGCCAGCCCAACCCTCACACAAGGGCCCAGCCAATCCTCACACAGGAGGGTTCACACCGGCCTGAAGGGTTCACTGACAAGGAGGGGCGGGCCCAGCTCCGAAGACAGTTCTGTCTCCTCTCGGGTCCAGGAGCCGCCTCCCCCGCCCCCACCCCCCCAGTTCCCATAGAAGTGGGCGCCCCCCAAAGCGCATCCCACTCCCTGTCGCCCTGCCCCCCAGAGAGCTGACCTGCAGCCTCTCCCCATGCGGGCAGAGCCCTCTGAGCCTCAGTGACTGTGTCCCCTCTGCCTGGGGGAGCTGTGTGCACCCACACATTCCAGAGTGAGCCTCTCATGGGAACTCCGGGCCCCTGAGGGTGCAGGGGGGCACTGTCACCCCTGAGCACCTGGAGGGGCTCCCCACCATGTGCACTGACACCCACCTGCCTGCAGGGGGCGGGCTGGGTCATTCCTGCCCCCATTGCACAGACGGGAAGTGCGGACTCAGGGAGACAGGGCCCGGCCCAGGGCTCCGGGTGCAAATGGTGCTCAGACCAAACCCTCATCTCTGACCCTCAGAGGCCTGAGCCTTCTCCTCCGCCTCCTGCTCACACTGGGGAGGCGGCACAGGCCCCTCGGCGGGAGTTAGGGAAGCGCCATGGCAGGAGGGACACGGACACAGGAACCCAGGGCCCTGAAGGGACTCCCTCTGCAGAAACCTGGGACAATTTTAGCCCCAGAATCAATGGGATTCGTGGGTTAGATCCCCTGAATGAAACAGGAAACGCTGAGGCCATCATGATATCAATAGGACATGATCGATGGATGGATGGATGGATGAGTAAATGAAGGCTGTGGGAATGGAATAGGAGGGAATGAGAGAGTGAATGAATGAATGGAAAGATGAATGAGTAAATGGATGGATGGATGGGTGAGTGAATGGATGTACGAGTGAGTAAATGGATGAATGAATGAGAAAATGAATAAATGGGTGAATGGGTGGATGGGTGAGTGAATGGGTGGGTGAGTGGATGGGTGGGTGAGTGGATGGGTGGGTGAGTAAATGAGTGAATGGGAATGGATGGGTGAGTGAATGGGTGAGTGAGTGAGTGGATGGATGGGTGAATGGGTGGGTGAGTGAATGACACCTGAGGACAGGGCCTCCTTCCAGTGAGTGGTTGGTCATGGAGACAATCAGTGGTAAGTGCAGGTGAGAAGTGGAACGTGCTCACAGGCTGAGGTCTCTCCCCAAACTCGCTCAGCTCCACGAGTCACGTCTCAGGGTTTCTCTGACCCGGAACCGGAGACTGACCTGCCCTCAGAGCATCTTGTCTAAGGTATTTTATTAATAATAAAAATTATAAACATATAAAATTGCCAGTTGGAAATGGCTTCCCAGACTGTGAGTCATGTGATGTACAGACATGACCCCCTCCCAGTCCCAGCCCAGGAGGAGGCTGAGGCCCGTCCTGCAGCTGAGCTCAGGGCCGGGGCGGCGGGTGGGGGCAGGAGCGCCCTGGGCCAGGGCCTCACACGCTGGGTCAGGAGGGGGAGGTCAGGCACCTCAGGCACCCGGTGGGGGGACGCGGGGGGGCCCAAGCGCCCGGTGCAGCAGGTCTCCTCCTCAGCCAGAGACGTGCTGGCCTCCAGGAGGGGGTCCCGCGGCTCCCTGACCCCGTAGCTGGTCCGAGGGGGCCTGGCCACTGCCCGCAGCCTCGGGGGGATGGCTCAGGCGTCTGCATCCCGCTGCCCTGTGTCAGGTGGCGGGTCCCTCTGAGGGAACAGGGATGCTGTCTCCTCCACGGGCTCCGTGGTGATGTCTGGCTGGACCCGGGAGGCCTGCAGGTCCCGACGCCTGTTCCTTTCTGTCGGCTCCCCTGTCCCCTGCGAGGGAAATTCGGCGTGAAAACCAGGGGCCGCTCCCGCCTGGTCCGGGATGCTCGGGGTCAGCCACCCCCAAGGGCAGGAGCGGGGCCTCCCTCCCCGACTTAGCACAGCGTCCACTGAGGACTCAGCCCCGCAGGGACCCTCCCCCCGAAACCCCCTCCCCAGCCAGCAGCCTCACTGCGAGGGTGGGGACAGGCAGCCATACCCGAGGAAAGGCGAGTTTTCCTGCAAAACAGAGACGCCCCGTCAGTAATGGTCCACCGGCCGGGGACCAGGGAGCCTGCTGCTCACTGGGAGCCTCCAGAGACCGACCCGCTCAGAGGCAGCAGGACCCAAGCACGGGCTCCTGGTCGGGCCTGTCCCCGTGCAGGGAGACGGGGAAGGACGCGGGCCCTGCCACCTCCCCTGCTGCCAACCCGACCCCACCTCAGCCCCGTGGTCTGTCCACAGGGAGGGCTGAGCCCCCAGGGGAGCGGCTGCCAGGAGCCGGGAGGAGGGACCCGCCCACAGCCCTGAGCCTCTCTCTGCTCAGGGCCCCCCCTGGCTCTGGGCACACAGAGCGCCCTGGGCAGGGACAGGGGAGGGAGGCATGATGGGGCCTCCCGCTGCTCTCGGGTGCCCCGTGCTCCTCCGTCTGCTGACGGGGGAGCTCAGGCCCTGGTGCTGGTTGGGTACCTGGGGATGGTGGGGGTGGTGTGGGCACCAGGCTCCTCAGACAGGAAGTCCCGCCCCCGGGCACCCCAGGCCGCCTCTCTATTTGGGGGACAGAGCCAGAGCGGTGTCTGGGATGAGAGAGCTGGGACCTGAGCCCTGACAGGACCAGGGGCTCCTGCTCACCCCGTGACGTTCTCTTCCTGATGGCCCTGAGCACAAGTGGCACAGAAATGACAGCGATGACGAGGATGATGACGATGATGGCGCTCCTGGAGTCGCATGTCACATCTGAGCGGCTGGTCCCAGGTGTCGCTTCCCTGGCAAATGGGCCACTGCACCTGGTGGAGGAGGGGGGCCCGTGGGCAACGGGCAGGGGCACCTCGGTGCCTGGCACTCACCCCGACCTCGAGCGTCCCCTGTGCAGCCTGGCGCACAGAGGGGAAGGCTGCTGCCTGGGGTGGGGCCGGGGAGGGGGGCAATGGGGGGAACTCACGTCTGTCTGACTCTCCCTGTCCCACAGCCACGGGGACACGGAGGGGGGCGGAGAATGAGCAGGACAACCTGGGGACAGGGACACTGGACACCAGAGAGGGACAGCGAAGGAGATGCCAGGGGTGAGGGCAGAGCTGGTGTCAGGAATAGACTGTGAAAGCCAGTGCCCCAGACAGGGGTGGGGAGGATGGAGACAGAGGAACAGACCTGGGACACCTGGGGGGGAGGATGGACACACAGGACCCAGAGCCTCTGTGTGGCAGTCACGCCAGAGACTAAGAACCCAGCTCACAGCTGGAACAAGGAGGGGGGGCGGGAGGGCAGGGGGTAGAGGCAGCTAAAGTGGGCACTGGGGTTCCCGTTTCCGGAGGAGTGGACTCCTCACTCTGGAGCCTCACGTGTGCACCCCTGACTCCGAATGGCAGAACCCCTCAGCCCTGACACCTGGGGGCACCCCGGAACACAGGGTGGGTCTCGGGCCGCAGCGCCCTGAGCCCCGCATCTGGGATGTGCTGACTTGGCCCTGGGCAGAGTTGACAGCCGTGTGGGAGCCACAGGGTGAGCGGGGTGGCTGAAAGGTCACCGTCTCCCCTCTGGGGGGCCCTTAACTACCCAGGGGGCCCTGGCAGCGCCTCCTGGGACCCGGGTCACCTACCTGGTCCAGGGCGTGCAGGCTGCCTGGGTGCCCCCCGCAGAGAAGGTGCCCGGCTGGCAGTCTTCACACAGCGTGTCCTGCCACTCGGTGCCTGAGAAACGACAGTGTCGGGCAGAGGGCTCCTCGGGGACCCCCTCAGGCCTGGGTTGGGGCCTGTGTCCTCAGGGGGAGCCGCGCTCACCTGTCTCCCGCACCCTCTGGCCCGGGCGGCAGACACTGTGGGGCCGGCACTGGACGCAGGAGTCCCCGTCCTGTCCCACACAGACGTGGCCACGCCCGCAGCCGCACACGGTGTCAGTCCGGGTGGAGCAGTTCCGTCTGGTCTCCTGGCCCAGGCCTTGGACCCAGAGGAGGAGCTCAGAGCAGCAGCGAGGCCTGCCAGGACTGGGGGAGAGCCCATCCCGGGACGACATCACGCTGAGGGCTGGGCAGGGCCCGCAGGCCTGGGGAGGGCACGGGGACAGGGTGCGCCCCCTCTGCTCCCCCTGGACCCTGCCGGCCTCAGCCCAGGCTCAGCCGCAACATAGGCCGGAGCTGCCGGACGCAGAGGCCAGTCCCAAGGGGCTCCTGGTCTCACCTGGGTCACAGAGGCGGCACGGCAGACACTCGGGCAGGCCGTTGAGGTGGGGCGTGTAGGTGCCCCGGGTGCAGGGCGCACACACTGTGGTCCTGAGCTCCCCGCAGGCCTCCTGCACCCGGGAGCCTGCAGCCAAGTGGGCAGACACTCAGGGCAGGTCGCCCCCGGGAGCCTGGGCAGTTGTGACACCCCCCAGGAGTCACCCCACCTGGGCTGTTCCCCAGGCCAGTGAGCCCGCTTTGCAGGAAGTGAGAACTTTCTGGAAGTTGGGGGCCTCCTGGGACACAGAGGCCTGGCTCTGAGGCCCCTCCCCTGGTCTGAAATGTGCTGCACCCCACCCCCAGCCCCGCCCTGGGCACTGAGCTGAGGGTCTGGGGGTGGAAAGGGTGCCCTCTGTGCCCAGGGGCTTCAGGCCTCCCATGAAGGGGTGCTGGGAGCAGAGGGGCTCCAGGCCAGGGGAGGGGGGATGCCTGCCCCCAGCACAGCCCCGCCCCCCGCCCCCCAGGGGCCCTGCAGAGCTGCACCCACCTGGCCTGCACTTGGGGCAGCACAAGGTCCCCGTCGGGAACTCCTCCTCTTTGCACGAGGGCATCCCCAGTGCGCAGGGCCGGGCTGTCAGAAGGAGGAGGCTCAGGGCCTAAGGGAGATGGGGGGGGCGTTGGAGCAGAGCCGCTGCCTGGGCCCCAGTCTCACCCTCTGGGAAATGGGCCATGCCCTGCAGGGGGCCCAGGACAGGACTGTCCACTGAGGATCCTAAGAGCGTGGGTTTGGGACCACCCTGTGTGTGACCTCTGACCCCCGGGGCTGAGGAGAGTGGGCCCCGTCCCTGGGAAGGCCAGGGCTGCTCTGACCCAACGAACTCAGCCTGGCTGCTCCCCGTGCTGCACCCCGAGCCCTGGAGCCACAGGGTCAGGGCAGGGAGAGCTCTGCCCTTTGGGGGGCGCCCACTTCTATGGAAACTCGCGCCTGGGGCTTGGTGGGTGCGGGAGGGGAGGCGGCTCCCGGACAGGAGGAGGGACAGAACTGTCTGTGGAGCTGGGACCTGCGCCTCCCTCCTGGGCGGTGAGCCCTTCAGGCCTGTGCGAGGATTGGCTGGCGCAGGTGGGGGGGGGTGGGCCTTCCTGTCTGAGGATTGGCTGGCGCAGCGGGGGGGGGGTGGTGGGCATTCCCGTGTGAGGATTGGCTGCCGCAGGTGGGGGGGGGTGGGCCTTCCTGTTTGAGGATTGGCTGGCGCAGGCGGGGGGGGGGGGGTGGGCATTCCCGTGTGAGGATTGGCTGCCGCAGGTGGGGGGGTGGGCCTTCCTGTCTGAGGATTGGCTGCCGCAGGTGGGGGTTGGTTTATTGGTGTGAGGACCAGCTGGCGCGGCGGCCCTCGGGCCTGACAGGTCACGAGAGGAAGAGGGGCTCTCCGGACAGACAGGGGCACAGACCAGGGCGTTGAGGCCGATGGGGGAGGCGGGAGGCGGAGGAGGAGGCGGAGGAGGGAAAGTGGAGCGGGACGGAAGGCCTGTCAGTCAGAGCTGCTCCTGAGTGGTAGCCACAATCTTAGGAGCTGACGGCTCTGGAGCTGATGGAAACGCACAGGAAGCCTCCCTCCCAGCACAGACACCAGTTCCTCCCCCAGACGGGCCGGGCGGTGGGGAGGATTCCGCCCTGAATGGGGGGGACAGGGGTCCCCAGAGGAGAGTCCTCGGAGGGGTGGCCTCCTGCCTGGGCCCAGTCCCAGCGGCCAGGGCTGTGGGCAGGGCCGGCTCCCCCACCGGCGCTGGGCTGCTGGGCGACACTGTCCCCGACTCACCAGCCTCAGGGCGTCGGCCGCGGGCGCCGAGCTGCAGGGGGGCGGCCCCCAGCCGGGCAGAGGCTCCATGTCCGCCCCGGACCCTCTTTCCATGACCGCGGCCTCGGGACTCCGGCCGGCAGGACAGACGGACGGCGGGACAGACGGGCTCATTCAGACTTCAGCTGCGAGGCTGCTCCCAACCAGAGAGTGAAGCCCAAACGCATCCGTTGCATTTATGCTCCCGCCACCCCACCCATGCGGTCTAAACACAGTAGGGCCCGCCCCCCGCGGACCCAGCCAATCCGCTAACAGGAGGCGGACCCGCCCCGCCCCCGGCAGCGCAACCCTCACACAGGAGGGTTCACACCGGCCTGAAGGGTTCACTGACAAGGAGGGGCAGGCCCAGCTCCGCAGACAGTTCTGTCCCCTCTCGGGTCCAGGAGCCGCCTCCCCCGCCCCCACCCCCCCAGTTCCCATAGAAGTGGGCACCCCCCAAAGCGCATCTCACTCCCTGTCGCCCTGCCCCCCAGAGAGCTGACCTGCAGCCTCTCCCCATGCGGGCAGAGCCCTCTGAGCCTCAGTGACTGTGTCCCCTCTGCCTGGGGAGCTGTTTGCACCCACACATTCCAGAGTGAGCCTCTCATGGGAACTCCGGGCCCCTGGGGGTGCAGGAGGGGCACTGTCACCCCTGAGCACCTGGAGGGGCTCCCCACCATGTGCACTGACACCCACCTGCCTGCAGGGGGCGGGCTGGGTCATTCCTGCCCCCATTGCACAGACAGGAAGTGGGGACTCAGGGAGACAGGGCCCGGCCCAGGGCTCCGGGTGCAAACGGGGCTCAGACCAAACCCTCAGCTCTGACCCTCAGAGGCCTGGGCCTTCTCCTCCGCCTCCTGCTCTCACTGCGGAGGCGGCACAGGCCCCTCGGCGGGAGTTAGGGAAGCGCCATGGCAGGAGGGACACGGGCACAGGAACCCAGGGCCCTGAAGGGACTCCCTCTGCAGAAACCTGGGACCTGCCTCCGGCTCGTGTGTTTCCAGGACGAGGCTCTGCCGACGCCACTGACTCCGCCGACCATCAGCTCCGGCCCCTTCCCAGGCGCGTCTGCGGTGGTGGTGCCAGCAGAGCCCGCCCAGCGAGGGGACAGCAGCGAGGGGACCAGCAGGGGCCCGGGCTCCCCTCCCTCGGGCCGGAGCTCAGCTCCTGCTGGAACCCCTTGCCCTCTGGGAATAGAGGCCCAGGTGTGCGCCCCAGGCTCCCCCAGCACCCGGCTCCCCCTCCTGACCAGCCGGGGTGCCCACTCGCCCACCCAGGGCCGGGCAGGGCAGGGCTGAGCGTGCCCACTGTGAGCGGAAGGCTGAGCCCCGAGGTGACAGGTGTGCGGGCGGAGCAGGACTCACCTGGACTAGGGGAGGGGGGGGTGTGAAGGGGGGGCAGCTGGTACAGTAAAGACTCTGGTCCTGGCTCAGGGCAGGGCCACCTGTGGGACCACATGGTCCGTCCACAGCGGGCGGGGCAGCAGGGCCGGGGCTGGGACTGGGCCGCCGCTGCGGGGCTGAGGGCGCAGGAGCCACGCGGGCCGCACGGAGCTGGGCCAGGCGGCTCCTCCCGGAGCGGGAAGGGCTGCAGCGCGGGCACCGGGGGGCGCGCCCGGGTCTAGAAGCTGCTGCAGGCAGGGCCTGGCCACCCGCCCCGGAGGCACCGGCCGTCTGGTCCCTGGGGACCCTGAGGCCACCCCGCAGGCAGCCCCGCCCCGGCCGCCTCCCGCCCCGGCCCCCTCCGCCCGGACCCCCTCCCGCCCGGACCGCCACCCGCCGGGACCGCCACCCGCCGGGACCGCCTCCCTCCCGCCCGGACCCCCTCCCGCCCCGGGAGCTGCTGGGCGCCAGGCAGTGGCGGGTTTCCGGTGCCCGGCCCAGCGGTGCTCTGGCGGGAAGAGGTCGAGGCGGGGCGGGCACTGGCGGTGTGGCCCGCGCGAGCGCCACAGGGCCTCGGGGTCGCGGGGGGCGGGCGGTTTGAGAGGGGGGCTCAGCCGAGCTGCGCGCGCACCCCCCCCCCCCCCGCCCCAGTTCCAGCTGAAGCTCCTGCGGCTGCAGCGCTTTCTCCGCCGCGCGGGGCCCTTCACCCACGAAAGACTCCGCTGCCCGCCGCCAGTGCCGCCTTCCCGGCGCGGTTCAGGGGACGCAAGGGGGAGAAGAAAACGTTTAACAGTAAACACAGAGAAGGACCGGAAGGGGGGGCAGGCCCTCCAGGGGCCTCGGCGTTGGCAGCGCCCTCCAGGGGCCTCCCCGGGGCAGCGGGATTCCGGGGCCTACAGGCAGGGGCGTGAGAAACGCAAACGTGCGCCCTGGCCGGTGGCTCAGTGGTGAGCGCGTCACCCTGACCCCGGGCACCCACCTGGGTGCAGGCGGATCCCATCCCCGCCGGGTGCGTGCAGGAGGCAGCCCGTCCAGGCCTCTCCCCCTGAAAGGGCGAGTCGTCGCGGGGCATGACCACGCTGCGGGCAGCCTCGGGCACCGACTCCCCAGCCCACGGCGGGAGCCCGGCGCAGGCTGCCACCCCCCCCCCCCCCCCCCGCGGCCCCCGGCGGCGGCAGGGCAGGGCGTGTGCCCTTGCCCAAGGAGATGGAGGAGGAGGCGATCGCCGGCGCCCCAGGAACGAGATGGAGGACATGGACTTCCTGTCTGGGCTGGAACTGGTCGATCTGCTGGACCCCCAGTAACCGGACTGGCCCCTGGAGCCCGGGCTCAGCTCGCCCTGCGGGGGGGGGGGGGGGGCTAGGACTGCGCCCTCCATCTCGCCCTGGGTCCTCCATTTTTGGGGCGCCTGCCATGTGCTCAGGAGAGTGCCTTCTTCCCGGAAGCCCAGGCCCCTGCTGGCCACGCCCAGGATTTCTTTAAACTAACCAATGACAATCAAGGGACGTGCACGCCAGAGAGATGACCACATCCTGTGTAACAAGACCCGACTGGCGCCTGGCCAATCGCGGGGCCCACAGTCCCCTCCCCTACCCTTACTATAAAACCCACAATCCCATCAGGCCTCGCTCTCTTTCGGCCACTGGAGCTTACCGTTGTATCGGTGAGTGTGGTTGGGGAGCCGAACTAGTTCGAAATGAAGGACTCTTTGCTTTTGCATCGGACTGACGGGCTCCCTGGGGGTCCTGGGAACCTTGAAATCTGGGCACAACACCCCCTGTTTCTCTCTCCTCCCTCCCCCCCTCCCACGCCCCCTAAACCCGTGGGAAAACCCTCGGGTGAGGATTTACAGAGAAAATGAAGAGAAAGACAGACGCCCCCTGTGAAATGAAGGGGGGCCGGGAGGTGAGCTCAGCGCAGGGAACAGACAGCACCGCCAGCGTCACGTGGGGATGGACCAGGGGCGGCGGCCTCCGCTCTGTACAGGGGGGTGGGTGGTCCTGGAGCCACTGTTACACTGTTACCCACAGTTCCACCCACACAGGAAGCCTCAAACCGCCTGCAGTTGGGGCTGGAATCACACTCTGAAGACACAGGCTGCCTGACTTCCGCTCTGAGTCATAACGAAAGGGAGAAGTCCTGATAAGGGCGTCTGTATTCAGCAGAACTTGAAACCTACACATAATTTTTGCTGGTGGGTTACCGGAGGCCATTCCCCTAACCCTTCACTGTTGACCAAACCCGACCTTTGACGTGTATATTTGCTGTCCTGAAGGCCAATGTGTTTTCCAGTGAATAAAAGCCGTGGGTCCCGAGATTCGGGGAGCTTAGTCCCGAGAGCTCAGTCCCCGCCGGGCTCCCCAAATGCCCCCGGATTTATCTTCCGTCCGGTGTTATTCCTTTACCCGCAGCCCCTTCCCAGACCCTGAAGAGTCCTCGCGGCAGCTCTGAGCATTTCGCCCTAAGGCCTCCTCTCACTGCCAGAGGCCTGGGACCATCTCAGCGGCTGTGCAGGAAAAGCTATAAGTTCTGTGCGGACCAATTCTGCCGCGATGTGTGCGGTTTGATGAGAGACTGTGATCTGAGAGTGAGCCGCACACACTGAGGCGTCACCTTAAAGCATTTTGTTGGGGGACAGTTTGCGCGGAGAGCAGCTCAGATCCTGTTTCTGGTGAGTCTCACCCACTGGTGACCCCGCCTGAGCCGTGGGGGTGGGAGGCCCAGGGCCATGCAGGTCCCTCTCTGCCCTGGAGGAGGCGCCCTCCCCGCTCATGTGCGTCCCGGCGGCCTCATGGTCTTACTTTATGCCGTGGGCTCTGGCTGTCGCTCATGTTGGTGCCAAATCGCCCCGAGTTGCCCCCAGGACCGCCCGCCCTCAGAGGCCTGCGATGCGATCCCCTGCCCTGGGCGCTGGGAAGGCCTCGAAGCACCGACGTCCCAGGGACACTGGGCCCCGCTGACCGCACTCTCTGGACTCCCAGCTCTCCCAGCTCCGTCCTCCATGGCCACCAGCAGGCTCCTCGGACAAGGGCTGCTGGGCCGGGACGGGGCGTGGGGATGGGTCCTGATGTCCACGGGCGGGGCTCACAGCCCAGCACCCCTCTTCCCACTCCCTGTGCCTGAGCCCCAGGGACCCCTCGTGGTCCCACCCGTTCACGTCCATGGCCACCTGCCCAGCCCCCTCGGCCGGCACAGGGCCTCCTCCCGGTGAGAGGGTGTGAGGTTGGGCAGCCGAGTCACCATCAGCCCCAGCGCCTGGACCAGTGCCCGACCCCCGTGGGGACGAGGGTCCCCGCTCCTTGTCGGTGGGGTAGGTCTGGAGGGGGTGGGGGCTGCCCTCCCATGAAGCAGAGCCGCCCAGCCTCCCTGCCCAGCGGGTCTGGAGGCGCTTGGGGAGCAGCGGCGCCAGAGCCACAGGTGGGAGCCGGAGTCCTGCTTCGCCCGCCAGAGGCAGCGGCCTGTCCAGGAGCCCGGCTGGTGGAGGCGGCAGGTCCCGAAGCTTGTGTGCTTGTGACCGCGGCCACCACGATGGAGCTGCTCCCGTTTCCACCAGGAAGGTGTGGCTTCCACAGTGAGACGTGTTCGCTCTGCCGGCCGGTGTCGCCTCTGAGCACAGCCCAACGGCCTGAGACAGCAGGTCCCAACAGTCCCCAGCCGCCCCCACCCCTCAGGGCCCCGCTCCACCCACACACAGGCCCAGAGGGCCCTGGGCGGTTAAGTTAGGGTTTTTCAAAATGCTGGCACGCCGAGCTCCAAAGGTTCGCCATCTCTGCCCTGGAGTTAGGGATTAGCAGGACTAGGGAAGGGAAAAATCAAACCCTCTGGTATTACAGAAATACAGTGTACCACTTACGATGAACTCAGACTGAGATGTTGACAACAAATTTAGGACTTGCTAGGCCAGTGATGGCGAACCTTTTGAGCTCGGTGTGCCAGCATTTTGAAAAACCCTAACTTCACTCTGGTGCTGTGTCACATATAGAAATTTTTTGATATTTGCAACCATAGTAAAACAAAGACGTATATTTTTGATATTTATTTTATACTAGAGGCCCGGTACACAAAAATTTGTGCACTTGGGGGGGGGGGAAGGGGGTTCCCTCAGCCCAGCCTGTGCCCTCTCGCAGTCTGGGACCCCTCGGGAGATAACGACTGACCTGCTGGCTTAGGCCTGCTCCCGGGTGGCAGAGGGCAGGCCCAATCCCTAGGTGCAGCCCCTGGTCGGCCTCAGAGCAGGGTGGATTGGGAGGTTGCGATGCCACCCTCAGTCATGCTCAGGGTAGGGCCAATTGGGGGGTTTGGGCACCGCCCCCTGTCACACTCAAGACAGGGTCAATGGGGAGGTTGCGGCGCCACCCCGTCACACACAGAGCAGGGCCGATCAGGGGGTTGGGGCGCTGCCCCCTGTCACGCACACAGCAGGGCCCATCAGGGGGGTTGGGGCTCCTTACCCTGTCACTCACAGAGTAGGGCCAATAGGGGAGTTGGGGCACCGTCCACTGTCACACACAGAGCAGGGCGGATCAGGGGGTTGGGGAGCTCCCCCCTGTCACGCACAGAGCAGGGCCGATCAGGGGGTTGAGGAGCTCCCCCCTGTCACTCACAGAGTAGGGCCAATAGGGGAGTTGGGGCACCGTCCACTGTCACACACAGAGCAGGGCGGATCAGGGGGTTGGGGCGCCGCCCTCTATCACCCACAGAGCAGGGCCGATCAGAGGTTGGGGCGCCGCCACTCTCATACTCAGGGCAGGGACGATGGTAAGGTTATGGCTCTACCTGTCACACACAGAGCAGGGCCCGGGGGGGGGGGGGGGGGTTGGGGCGCCGCACCCTGTCACACACAGAGCCACAGGGCGATCAGGGGTTTTGGGTGCTGCCCCCTGTCATGCTGATCCCGGTGCCGGGAGGCCTCTTGGCTCCGCTGATCCCGGTGCTGGGAGGCATATTACCCTTTTACTATATAGGATAGAGGCCTGGTGCATGGGTGGGGGCCGGCTGGTTTGCCCTGAAGGGTGTCCTGGATTAGGGTGGGGGTCCCCACTGGGGTCCTCACTGGCCAGTCTGGGTGAGGGGCTGAGGGCTGTTTTCAGGCTGGGACTGAAGCTCCCAACTGCTCCTTTTTTTCTTTTTTTTTTTTTTTATTCTGGGCCAGCTTTAGCTCTGGCTCCAGCTCTGAGGCCTCTGCTGCTGAAAGCAGGTATCTGGTTTGTTTGGGTTCTGTAATCAAAACACTGTATCAACTCCAGCTCTGAGATCCCAGCTGGCTGAAAGCAGGTTTCTGGGGTTTTGTTTAGCTTCTATATTTGTAACAAAATGTTTAAAACTGCAAGCTCAGAGGCCGGCAGCAGCAGGAGGGGAACGTTGGATTCCTCTGTCACTGAAGCAAGCAAGCCTCATGTTAGCTTTAAGCTGCCTGGCTGCCGGCTGCCATCTTGGCTGGCAGTTAGTTTGCATATCACCCTGATTAGCCAGTGGGAAGTGTAGCAGTCGTACGCTAATTACCACATTTCTCTTTTATTAGATAGGATATTTAAATGCCATTTAACAAAGAAAAATCAACCAAAAAAATGAGTTCGAATGCCACATCTGACACACGTGCCATAGGTTCACCATCACTGTGCTAGGCCCACATCCCCAGGGGTCTACCCACCAGAGAAAGTACCAAAGCCTAGACCCCCAAACACCCGCCGACGCCGGGAAGACCACCAGCAAGGCTAAGGACAACCGTCAAACAGCTACAGAAATACCGCTGCAGACAATGCAGGCAGCTCCTTCCCTAGAAATCTCAGGCGAGCTGTGCAAGCAGACGTCAACTAAGCGCCAGGCATGTAGTTAGTTCATCACCACAGCCAAGAACAGTCACGCTTAAGCTAAGAACCTTGGCTTAGGCCATAGAATAGGAAACCGCCTTCCGTTTCTCCTCATGGCTTCACAGTGGAGCAATGGAACAGCAACCTCAGAATAGAAAGAACAAACTAGCCCTTATCATGGAACACAGAGACTACCTTCAGAATGGAATGTCGAAACACAGACCGTAGATAAGATCCAAGCCAGCAGAGCTAACCAGAAAGAAGACTTTAGCAAAGGCCAGGTAAGAAACTGCAAACATAAAACAAGAAACTGTATGACCCAAAACATACCGTGATGTAACTAGAGACGCGTGCTTGTGGAATCCAATAGTACAAAGTCTGTGGTAACAGGGCAATAAAGACAGAACCTGACTACGCTGATCATCTGAACGCTGTCTCCGTGTCCTTCCTTCTTCGCCGACGCCGTCCACACCTTCGGGAACTCCTGGACCGCTGGGGCTGGATCCCGGGAAGTGACCCAGCGTGCAAAATTGCACGCGACCCAGGACCCCAGACCCCGCGGGACTCAGAGTCAAGTCCCCGCCCACCCGATGCACCTCACTGCTGCACAGGCAGCCCCCTGGTGACTGATCTTTGGTCCTTACCGCGTTAGGGCCACTGGTTTTTTTTTGTTTGTTTGTTTTTAATTGTTTTATTGCTGAAAGTATTACAAAGAGTATTATATATGTCTCCTTTTTTTCCCCGCCCTTGACATTCCACTGGCCTCCCCTACCCCCCAGTGTGTTGTGTCCATTTGTTATGCTCATATGCACGCATACAAGTCCTTTGGTTGATCTCTTACCCCCCCCACTCCGGCCCCCCAACCCTCCCCGGCCTTCCCGCTGTAGTTTGACAGTCTGTTCGAGGCTGCTCTGCCTCTGTATCTATTTTTTTTTAAATATATTTTATAGAGTTTTTACAGGGAGGAAGGGAGAGGGATAGGGAATTAGAAACATCAGTGAGAGAGAAACATCGATCAGCTGCCTCCTGCACACTCCCCACTGGGGATGTGCCCACAACCAAGGTACATGCCCTTGACCGGAATCGAACCCGGGACCCTTGCGTCCGCAGGCTGACGCTCTAGCCACTGAGCCAAACCGGTTAGGGCTGTGTCTATTTTTGTTCATCAGTTTACAATGGTCTTAATTATCCATAAATGAGTGAGATCATGTGGTATTTTTCCTTCATTGACTGGCTTATTTCACTTAGCATAATGCTCTCCAGTTCCATCCATGCTGTTGCAAATGGTAAGAATTCCTTCTTTTTTACAGCAGCATAGTATTCCATCGTGTAGATGTACCACAGTTTTCTAATCCATTCATCTGCTGATGGGCACTTAGGCTGTTTCCAGATCTTAGCTATGGTGAATTGTGCTGCTATGAACATAGGGGTGCATATATCCTTTCTGATTGGTGTTTCTGTTTTCTTGGGATATATTCCTAGAAGTGGGGTCACAGGGTCAAATGGGAGTTCCATTTTTAGTTTTTGAGGAAACGACATACTGTCTTCCATTGTGGCTGCACCAGTCTGCATTCCCAGCAGCACTGCATGAGTGTTCCTTTTTCTCCACATCCTCTCCAGCACTTAGCGTTTGTGGATTTGTTGAAGGGCCACTGGGTTTTATACTATAGATCAGTGATGGTGAACCTATGACATGCGTGTCAGAGGTGACACGCGAACTCAGTTTTTTGGTTGATTTTTCTTTCTTAAATGGCATTTAAATATATAAAATAAGTATCAAAAATATAGATCTTTGTTTTACCATCGTTGCAAATATCAAAAAATTTCTCTATGTGACATGGAACCAGAGTTAAGTTAGGGTTTTTCAAAATGCTGACACGCCAAGCTCAAAAGGTTCGCCATCACTGGTATAGATGATAATAAAAAATATAAGACATATAAAATGGCCAGTTGGAAATGGCTTCCCAGACTGTGAGTCATGTGATGCGTAGACATGACCCCGTCCCAGTCCCAGCCCAGGAGGAGGCTGAGGGCCGTCCTGCAGCTGAGCTCAGGGCCCGGGCGGCGGGTGGGCTCCTCCTCAGGCAGGTGCGGGCTGGCCTCCAGGAGAAGGTCCCGCGGCTCCTCTGACCCCATAGCTGGTCCTTGGGGGCCTGGCCGCTGCCCGCAGCCTCGCGGAGATGGCTCAGGAACCTGAATCCCGCAGCCATGTGTCAGGTGGCGGGTCCCTCTGAGGGAACAGGGATGCTGTCTCCTCCACGGGCTCCATGGTGACGTCTGGCTGGACCCGGGAGGCCTGCAGGTCCCGACGCCTGTTCCTTTCTGCCAGCTCCGCTGTCCCCTGCGAGGGACACTCGGCGTGAAGACCAGGGGCCGCTCCCGCCTGGTCCGATGCTCGGGGTCAGCCACCCCCAAGGGCAGGAGCGGGGCCTCCCTCCCTGACTTAGCACAGCGTCCACGGAGGACTCAGCCCCGCAGGGACCAGCCCTCCCCACCCCCAGCCAGCAGCCTCACTGGCAGGTTGGGGACAGACAGCAATTCCTGAGGAGAGGAGAATTTTCGTGCAAAACAGAGATGCCCCGTCAGGAAGGGGCCGCCCGACCGGGGACTACGGGGCCTGCTGCTCACTGGGAACCTCCGAGACCGACCCGCTCAGAGGCAGCAGGACCCAAGCACGGGCTCCTTGTTGGCCTGTCCCCGGGGCCGGGAGACGGGGAAGGACTTGGGCCCTGCCACCTCCCCTGCTGCCAACCCGGCCCCACCTCAGCCCCGTGGACCGTCCACAGGGAGGGCTGAGCCCCCCAGGGGAGCGGCTGCCAGGAGCCGGGAGGAGGGACCCCCCCGCTGCTCAGAGCCGGGCCCTGGGCCGGGCACCTCCTGGGTGAGGACAGGGCGCGGCCTCGCCCACAGCCCTGAGCCTCTCTCTGCTCAGGGCCCCCCCTCGGGCTCTGGGCACACAGAGCGCCCTGGGCAGGGACAGGGGAGGGGGGCATGACGGGGCCTCCCGCTGCTCATGGGCGCCCTGTGCTCCTCCGTCCGCTGAGGGCAGGTGGGAGCTCAGGCCCTGGTGCTGCGTGGGCACCGGGGGCACCAGGCTCCTCAGACAGGAAGTCCCGCCCCCGGGCACCCCGGCCGCCTCTCTATGTGGGGGACAGAGCCAGAGCGGTGTCTGGGATGAGAGAGCTGGGACCTGAGCCCTGACGGGACCAGGGGCTCCTGCTCACCACGTGACCTTCTGTTCCTGATGGCCCTGAGCACAAGTGGCACAGAAATGACAGCGATGACGAGGATGACGCTGACGATGATGATGGTGACGGGGCCCGGAGGAGCATGTCACGTCTGAGCTGTTGGTCCCAGGAGTCGCTTCCCAGGCAAATGGGCCACTGCACCTGGGGGAGGAGGGGCCCGTGGGCAGCGTGAAGGGCGGTCACCCTGACCCCCCAGACCCTGAGCGCTGCCGGAAGCTGATACCAGCAGGTCATCCTCAGCTGGGCTGAGTCATTGGGAGGGGGCTGAGGGCATGTCCCAAACCTGAACAGGATGCAGAAAGGATTGCTGGCTCCCAGGCAGCTGAGGGCATTTCAATGTACGTTACTGCCTCCTGCTGGCCAAACACCTGGACAGCCGTAGGCAGTTCCCCCAATCTGTCAATGGACTCTGTGTACTAGCCCTGGCCTTTGATGTGTATCTACCTCACCTCAGGGCAAACTGTGTTAATAAATAGCAAGGGGTCCTGAGACAAGGAGAACTTGGTTCCTCTAGCTAAGTCTTCTCTGGCCCCAAAATGCCTTCCAAAATCATGTTTCGTCTCCAGACTCTTTATTCATTTACACGCAGCACCTTCTCCAGATTCATGAACCCTTCGAGCTGCTGGATTAAGACCATCAGCATTCGAGCGTCCCCTGCGCAGCCTGGCGCACAGAGGGGGAGGCTGCTGCCTGGGGTGGGCCCGGGGAAGGGGGCTCTGGGGGGAACTCAGGTCCGACTGACTCTCCCTGTCCCACAGCCACGGGGACACGGAGGGAGGGGAGGAAGGGGCAGGACAACCTGGTACAGGACACTGGACACCAGAGAGGGACAGCGAAGGAGATGCCAGGGGTGAAGGCAGAGCTGGTGTCAGGAATGGACCGTGAAAGCCAGTGCCCCAGACAGAGGGACAGACGTGGGGACGGGGAGGGGGGAGGATGTATAGGAGAGGAGGGTGGAGACAGAGGGACAGACATTGGGGAGGGATAGAAGGGGTGGGGAGGATGGAGACACAGGACCCAGGGCCTCCGTGTGGCAGTCATGCCAGAGACTAAGCGGCCAGGTCACAGCAGGAAGGAGGGGGGGTGGACACGGCGGTTTCTGCTTCCGGGGGAGGGGACTCCTCACTCTGGAGCCTCGTGTGTGCACCCCTGACTCCGAATGGCAGGACCCCTCAGCCTGACACCTGGGGACACCGCGAAACACAGGGTGGGTCTCTGGTTGCAGCGCCCTGAGCCGCGCATCTGGGATGTGCTGACCGGGCCCTGGGCAGAGGAGACAGCGGTGTGGGAGCCACAGGGTCAGCAGGGTGGCTGGGGGGTCACCGTCTCCCCGCTGGGGGGCCCTTATCTCCCAGGGGGCCTGGCAGCGCCTCCTGGGACCCGGGTCACCTACCTGGTCCAGGGCGTGCAGGCTGCCTGGGTGCCCCCCGCAGAGAAGGTGCCCGGCTGGCAGTCTTCACACAGCGTGTCCTGCCACTCGGTGCCTGAGAAACGACAGTGTCGGGCAGAGGGCTCCTAGGGTCCCCCTCAGGCCGGGGTCCGGGGCCTGTGTCCTCAGGGGGCGCCGCGCTCACCTGTCTCCCGCACCCTCTGGCCCGGGCGGCAGACACTGTGGGGCCTGCACTGGACGCAGGAGTCCCCGTCCTGTCGCTCACAGAAGTGGCCGCACCTGCAGCCGCACACGGTGTTGGTCCGGGTGGAGCAGTTCCGTCTGGTCACCTGGCCCAGGCCTGGGACCCAGAGAAGGAGCTCAGAGCAGCAGCGAGGCCTGCCAGGGCTGGGGGAGCGCCCGTCCCAGGAAGACACCACGCTGAGGGCTGGGCAGCGCCCGCAGGCCCGGGGAGGGCACAGGGACAGGGTGCAGCCCCTCTGCTCCCCCTGGACCCTGCCGGCCGAAGCCCAGGCTCAGCTGGAACATAGGCCGGAGCTGCCGGACGCAGAGGCCAGTCCCAAGGGGCTCCTGGTCTCACCTGGGTCACTGACGCGGCACGGCAGACACTCGGACAGGCCGTTGAGGTGGGCAGTGTAGGTGCCCCGGGTGCAGGCCACACACATTGTGCCCGTGAACTCCCCGCAGGCCTCCTTCACCCGGTAGCCTGCAGGCAAGAGGGCACACCCTCAGGACAGGACGGACCCTGAGCCCTGGCAGGTGTGACACCCCCACCAGGGGTCACCCCACCAGGGCTGTTCCCCAGGCCAGTGAGCCCGCTTGGCAGGAAGTGAGAACTTCCTGGAAGTTGGGGGCCTCCTGGGACACAGAGGCCTGGCTCTGACACCCCCTCTCCTGGCCTGAAATGGGCTGCCCACCCCAGGCCCCCGCCAGCAGTGACCTGAGGGTCTGGGGAGGCGGGGAGGCTGGGGGTGCCCACTGTACCCAGGGGCTTCAGGCCTCCCATGAAAGAGTGCTTGGAGCAGAGGGGCTCCAGGCCAGGGGAGGGGGGATTCCTGCCCCCAGGACAGCCCCGACCCCGGTGTCCCCCAGGGGCCCTGCAGAGCTGCACCCACCTGGCCTGCACTTGGGGCAGCACATGGCCCCCGTCGGGAACTCCTCCTCTTTGCACGAGGGCATCGCCAGTGAGCAGGGCAGGGCTCTCAGAAGGAGGAGGCTCAGGGCCTAAGGGAGATGGGGGGGTGTTGGAGCAGAGCCGCTGCTTGTGCCTCAGTCTCACCCTCTGGGAAATGGGCCATGCCCTGCAGGGGGCCCAGGACAGGATTGTCTACTGAGGATCCTAAGAGCGTGGGTTTGGGACCACCCTGTGTGTGACCTCTGACCCCCTGGGCTGGAGCGTGAGGCCCCGCCCCCGGGAAGGCCAGGGCTGCTCTGACCCCACAAACTCAGCCTCGCTGCTCCCTGTGCTGGACCCAGAGCCCTGGGAGCCACAGGGTCAGCGCAGGGACAGGTGTGGGGTGTGTGTCAGGGGGTGTCTCTGGCCTGACAGGGTCACAGGGAGGGGGCTGCTGAGGGGAAGGGGGAGCCCCAAGGGGAGAAGGAGAGGGAGGTGGGGGAGGGGGAGGAGGAGGGGGAGGGGAGGCCTGTCAGTCAGAGCTGCTCCTGAGTGGTAACCACGGGCTTGGGAGCAGATGGCGCTGGAGCTGATGGAAACGCACAGGAAGCCTCCCTCCCAGGCACAGACACCCAGTTCCTCCCCCAGACGGGCTGGGCGGTGGGGAGGATTCCGCCCTGAATGGGGGGGCGGGGACAGGGGTCCACAGAGGAGGGTCCTTGGAGGGTGGCCTCCTGCCTGGGCCCAGTCCCAGCGGCCAGGGCTGTGGGCAGGGCCGGCTCCCCCACCGGCGCTGGGCTGCTGGGCGACACCATCCCCGACTCACCAGCCTCAGGGCGTCAGCCGCGGGCGCCGGGCTGCAGGGGGGTGGCCCCCAGCCGGGCAGAGGCTCCATGTCCACCCCGGGACCCTCATTCCCTGACCGCGGCCTCGGGACTCCGGAGGGCGGGACAAACGGACGGCGGGACAGACGGGCTCATTCTCGACGACCTCATAGTGGTGGCTGCTTCGTAAGAGAATGTGAAACTGAAACGGATCTGTTTTGCAGTTCCTCCAACTCCCTCCCCCCCCCCCCCCCCCCCCCCCAGGCCATGGCGGAAAGGGCTCTGGCTGGGCTCTCAGAGTTTGGGGGAGAGGAGGCCAGAGAACTGCTCTGCCTGAGCTGGGCCCCAAAGCACATCCCACTCCCCTGTCGCTCTGCACCCCAGAGAGCTGCCCTGCAGCCTCTCCCCATGCGGCCAGAGCCCTCTGAGCCTCCGTGACCTGTGTCCCCTCTGCCTGGGGAGCTGTTTGCACCCACATCCCCTTAGACTGAGCCCGGGAGCTCCTCACCCCCTCCTTCCAGGCCCCCGGGCCCCTTTAGGACCCACCCTCCCCTCTGAGCTCCCCCCCGCCCCCCTGCTCTGTTTCTCAGATGCTGGCAGACCTTGCACGCCAGCCTCTCGAGTCTCAATGTCTTTAAATGAGCGCTTGTGCCCAGGGAGGTGCCAGGAGAGGGACGCTGACCCCCCCCAGGGCTGGGGGTGAGGCCTGGGAATGAGGATGTGGTTATTGACCGTGATGGTCATGGGGCCTCGGAGGATTCTGGCCGGATGGTCACAAGCTGCTTCTCCCTCTTCCTTCCTCTCTGAAATCAGTCTATCTGTACTAATGTGCTAATTAGACCGGAGACCTTCCAGACAAAGCCATGGTGGCGAGCCGAGGCAGAGGCAGTTAGGGGTGAGCAGGCCAGGGGGGCGGGGGGGGGGGGGCAGTTGGGGGTGAGCAGGCTGGTAGGGGGGCAGCGGGGGCGAGCTGGCTGGCAAGGGGGCACAGTTGTGGGCGATCAGGCGGGGCGGGGCAATTGGGGGCAAGCAGGCTGGCGTTGGGGGCAGTTGGGGACAATCAGGCCAGCAGGGGAGCAGTTGGGGATGATCAAGCCACCAGGCAGAGTGGTTAGGGGCAATCAGGCAGGCAGTCAGGTGAGCAGTTAGCCAGCGGTCCCGGATTGTGAGAGGGATGTCTGATTGACAGTTTAGGCCTGATGGGATGGGCCTAAACCGGCAATCGGACATCCCCCAAGGGGTCCCAGATTGGAGAGGGCACAGGCCAGGCTGAGGGACACCCCTCCACCCCCTGTGCACGATTTCGTGCACCAGGCCTCTAGTATATATATAAAAGCCTAAGTGACCAGCCAATCAGCCGACCAGCCAACTGGCTGGTAACTATGATGCACACTGACCATCACGCACACTGACCACCACGCACACTGACCATCACGCACACTGACCGTCCCGCACACTGACCATCCCACACACTGACCATCCCGCACACTGACCATCCCACACACTGACCATCCCGCACACTGACCATCCCACACACTGAGCATCACGCACACTGACCATCCCACACACTGACCATCACGCACACTGACCATCCCACACACTGACCATCCCGCACACTGACCATCCCACACACTGACCATCACGCACACTGACCGTCCCGCACACTGACCATCCCACACACTGAGCATCACGCACACTGACCATCCCACACACTGACCATCCCGCACACTGACCATCCCGCACACTGACCATCCCGCACACTGACCATCCCACACACTGACCATCACGCACACTGACCGTCCCGCACACTGACCATCCCACACACTGAGCATCACGCACACTGACCATCCCACACACTGAGCATCACGCACACTGACCATCCCACACACTGACCATCCCGCACACTGACCATCCCACACACTGAGCATCACGCACACTGACCATCACGCACACTGACCATCCCACACACTGACCATCACGGGGCAGACGCTCAATGCAGGAGCTGCCGAGAGACAGCAACGTTGCGGAGTGCCCTCTCACATTCTGGGAGCCCTCGGGGGATGTCGGACTGCTGGTTTGGACCCAATTCCCCCAAGCCTGGCCGAGGGACCCACCAGCGCACGAATCTGTGCACCAGGCCTCTAGTAAAACTACATTTAAAAAGTATAGTTCGGGAGCCTGGCCCCTCATCATACCTTTTGCTTCTTGGAAACTGAGCGCATCCCTTTTTGCCTCTCACTTCACACGTGTCTGTGCTGGGCTGTCGGCTTGGGCCTGGGCTTCAGGCACATCCAGGTTGCCCAGCGCTTGCCGCTGGAGGCTGCGCAGATGGACAGACGGACGGACATGCTTCTCAAAACCGCTCTTATCGGGGTTGGTGTCTGGGAACTGTGGGCCCGCCCCAGGCGTTTCCTGTGGTTTCGGGGAGGCCTCCTGTGTGCGGAGGGCAGCAACCGCCAGGAACCAGATGACCTGAATCTCACGGTGGAGAAAGGCCAGCCAAACCCCCACTCAGCGACCCCCCAAGTTAAGTGGCCTGCGCTCCTCCGAAGTCAAAGGCAGGAAACCAGAAGAAAGGGGGGCGCCGCTCCATGTTGAAGGCACTCAGGGACCTGAGGGCTGCCCCCCCTCTCATTCTCTCTAAGAAGCAATGGGGGGCTCAGGGGCTCAGTGGGGGGCGTGGCTTGGGTGAGGGTTAAAAGAAAGAAAACAGCGCTAACCGGTTTGGCTCAGTGGATGGAGCGTCGGCCTGCGGACTGAAGGGTCCCGGGTTGGATTCCAGGCAAGGGCACAGGCCCGGGTTGCAGGCTCGATCCCCAGTGGGGGGTGTGCAGGAGGCAGCTGATCAATGTTTCTCTCCCATCGATGTTTCTAACTCTCTATCCCTCTCCCTTCCTCTCTGTAAAAAAATCAATAAAATATATTTAAAGAAAGAAAGAAAAGGCCTGGAGGAGAAAGCTCTGGGAAGGAGTGTCGGCGTCGAGATGGACACACGCGGCCCAGCGGGACCCGGAGGTGGGGAACCAGGCGGGCCTGACCGAGGGGGGGCGGGGCCGCCTTCCAGGAAAACAGGTCAGATGGGAGATCCCGGGAGTCAGCCACCCAGTGTCACCAGGAAGTCCCGCCTGGGAACTCCGTGCTGGGAGACACCCACCTGGGTGCGGCGGGCCCCGGAGGCTTGACGGGAGGAGAGGCTGCTGGAGGGAAACACCCAGTGTCGTCGATGGAGCCACACAGCCCGGACGTGGCCTGGGTCACGGGAGCCAGGCACCCACCAGGTGTCAGGACCTGGCAGCACGGAGACCAGACCCGGGGCCGCGCGGAGGCCGCCTGGGAGCTGCGGGCACACGTGGAGTCCAGGCGCCAGAGGGCAGGGCTGGGGCGCAGGCAGGGGGTCAGGAGCCGCCTTCCAGCACAGAGGGCACTGCAGGCCACGCCTCAGGAATCTGTCCCTAAAACCAGGTCACGGAGCTGGCAGAGCTGGGCGGCTGAGTGTTGGCCGATGATCCAGAAGGTCACGGTTCCCTTCCCGCTCAGGGCACATGCCCAGCGGGGGGCTTGCTGGAGGCAGCCGGTCCATGAGCCTCTCTCATCAGTGATGTTTCTATCTCTTCTTTCCTCTCTGAATCCAATACAAAAATATTTCTAGCCCTGGCCAGTTGGCTCAGTGGATAGAGCATCGGCCTGCGGACTGAAGGGTCCCGGGTTCGATTCCAGTCAAGGGGACATGCCTAGGTTGTGGGCTCAATCTCCAGTAGGGGGCGTGCAGGAGGCAGCCGGTCCGTGATTCTCTCTCATCATTGATGTTTCTATCTGTCTCTCCTTCTCCCTCTCTGACATCAATAAAAATATATTTTAAAAAATAAAATAAAATAAATATTAAAATAAAACCAGGAAGAATAAGAAACAAGCCCTGTGTGTAAAGCATAAAACCCCAAGCACCAGGCGAGGCGCAGGCCGGGAGTGCGGGGCTGGGAGACAGCTGAGTCCTGGCCAGCCAGAGGCGCGTCCTCACGGCCACCTGGGCGTCTGGCAGAGACGCTGCAGGCCACACCTGTCGGCGGCTCCGCTCTCCCCAAGGAAAGGCTTATCCGGATCTGCTCTCAGCGCTCAGAAACCAGCTCCAAGGAGCAAAGTGCACGACCTGGAACAGCTGTGACGCTCCGAAGAGGGACTGCACGGGGGGAGGAGGGGTGGGGGGGGGATCGTGAATCTGCCAAGATGCAGGAAGACAGTAAGCTTCCCATCGTCTGAGGGAACACATTCTTTTTTAAAAAATATATATTTTATTGATTTTTTACCAAGAGAAAGGGAGAGGGATAGATAGTTAGAAACATCGATCAGCTGCCTCCTGCACGCCCCCTACTGGGGATGTGCCCGCAGCCAAGGTACATGCCCTTGATCGGAATCAAACCTGGGACCCTTGAGTCCGCAGGCCGACGCTCTATCCACTGAGCCACACCGGTCAGGGCAGAGAACACATTCTTTATGTACAAAGAAGCGGTGATCAGAGTCACCAGCCACTTGTTCACCTGAAACAATGCCTGTCATTGGAAAACATCTTAAAAGAAAAAACGATAAAATTTCAACTGAGAATTCTTTTTTTTTTTTTTTTTTTTTTAAATATATTTCACTGATTTTTTACAGAGAGGAAGGGAGAGAGATAGAGAGTTAGAAACATCGATGAGAGAGAAACATCGATCAGCTGCCTCCTGCACATCTCCCACTGGGGACGTGCCCGCAACCCAGGCACATGCCCTTGACCGGAATCGAACCCGGGACCCTTGAGTCCGCAGGCCCACGCTCCATCCACTGAGCCAAACCGGTTTCGGCTTCAACTGAGAATTCTTATGCACAATGAAACGATTTGTCGAAAACGAAAGCAAAATAAAGGCTGAGGCAGCCGATCAGTGATTCTCATCATTGATGTTTCTCTCTCTCTCCCTCTCCCTTCTTCTCTGAGATCAGTAAGAAAATAAATGAGAATATACTCAATCAAAAAGAAGGTAGGAGGAGGGAACATGAATAAAGACCAGCCCATAGTTAGCAAACGATAGACCCAAACCCAACCGCATGGAAAACGGCATCAAATGGGTTCTATATGCCAGTGAAAGGCAGACATTGTCCTCTGGCTACAGAACCAGGACCGACTGTGGGCTGACTGCAAGCAGCCCACTTCGCGGGTAAAGATTCAAGTAACAAGCTGGTGCATGGGCACCACCGGGTCCAGAGACATGGGAACCGCGCAGGAAAAGAACCCCCACATCTGCAGAGGCTTCTGGGAAGAGCCCCCGCTCACCCCATACTTCATGGTAAAGACCGCAGGAACCAGGCACGAGGCCCCGTGTGCTGCTCTGCTCAGCATCGCGCTGGAGGTCTCCGCCAATGCAATACGGCAGGAAAGAGAAATAGAAGGCGTGTAGATGGGAAGGAAGGAGAAATATTTCTTCCTGCAGACAATGTGATCGTGTATGTGAAAGTCCTCAGGAACGTACTGGAAAGCTATGTGAGCTCCTATGTTTACTTAGCAAGGTCGCAGGACGCAGGCCGATATTAAACACAAAACAAAACCCACCAAGATTGGAATCTGAACATCTGATTAACAACGATGCCATGCTTGGAGACAAACGTAACGGAATGTGTGCCCGCCACTAGGAACATCGCTGAGAGACGAGAAAGAGGACCCGGTAAATGGAAGGATACATGGCGTTCATACACTGGAAGAATGAATAGTCATCAAATGTCAGAGACCCCCAAGCCTGGCCGGCGTGG